CTCACATGTGTGTGTCTTGCAGTCGCTGTACGGATTCTTCTGGAAGCAGTTTGGCTCTCTAGAGGTGATCTCGGGCTGCACGGTGGGCATGCTGCGGGACGTGTACGACTCCGATGGCATCAAGCTGCGGCGCCGCGAGTACTACACCATGCCCGGCTTCCGCAAGTACGAGAACGACACGGGCCACATCCTGGTGCAGTGGGCCCTGGGCAGCCCCGTCCACTTCGCCGGCTGGCACTGTTCCTGGTGCTTCACTCCCGAGGGCATTCACTTCAAACTGGTGTCGGCGCAGAACGGGGACTTCCCTCGCTGGGGGGACTACGAGGACAAGCGCGACCTGAACTACATCCGGCAGCTGATCCGCACGGGGGGCTGGTTTGACGGGTCCCTGCAGGAGTACCCACCCGCCGACCCCAAGGAGCACATGTACGCCCCCAGGTACATGCTGGACAATTACAAACAGTACCGCTACCTCCTGGAGAACCCTTACAGCCAAGTGTCACAGAACGGAGGAGAGTGAAGCCTGCACAAACATGAGGTGATGTGAGCTGCATTAAGAGGCTTGTTTGAGTAGTTTTGACTAGTTTGGTTTCAGTTACACTTCAGGTCTACAATACTTAAAGCTGCACAGTGTAACTTTTCTATTGGAGGTATGCCTAGTTTCCATGGAGATCTTATTGCTCTGCGAGGAGTGTTCCCCAGTAAAGCATTAGCCATTTCTCTCTAGAAGTCTGTCTAACTGTGTTACTAGCTTCAGGCAGATTTAACACCGTGTCCCAACAGCAATCTGACCAGAACTGAAGAAGCCACTCTTCACTCGAAAACTTGTGACCAGTTGACAGAATTACATTTTTTGCTACATTTCTGTCTAGCATTAGTTTAATTATAGTTGTTTTATTGCTCAAAAATATATTAAAAAAAGTTGCATTCTTACGGTTAGTGGGGTCGCCTCTCCACAGATATGACCTTGCTTTATCTCCTTATAGGTACATTTAATGCCGGATTGTGGAACACTTGAATTTTAAAATCTTAAAGGCACTGTGCCAGATTTTTACTGTCCCAAAAACATGACAAACAGAACTAGTTCATTTGAACTGTTTGCAGTGGTCCAAAGTTATTCCTCTCTTAAACCAGAGCATTGTTTGTTTGAGAGCACACAACAGACTTATTTTGAAAATCTGCTCTGGGGCTAGGTACCTTTTCCTCAAATACATGGGAAAAATTAGGTAAAGGGCCTTTAATATGGGTACTGGCAGTATTTTAAAAAATTAAGTAGGAAATCTAGTCAGAACTACTCAAAAAATACAAGAGACTCCTGTAGATCCACCTCTCACATTACGTCCACCCTGATCCTCCTCCCTTTGACATGCACTGGATACAGACCTGTCTTGTTCTAGCCCTGATGCCCTCCTGGACGTCTTCCTGTCATGTCCAACCGCCCACACACACACGCACACACACACGCACACACGCACACACTCACTGCCAATGTCCTGGAGCTCCTGTCTGCAGTGTCTCCGTTGTCCATGCTGAGGGCGGGTCAGACACAGGGACAGACTTCAATGACGCAGTACAGCGATGGGAAGTTCTGTCATTTTTTTACACAATAAAGTACAGCAAAAAAGGAACTTCTACAACTATCCAAATGACTTGAATGTTTTTGTATTTCAGTGGTTTCTGAGACCAGGTCAAAGGGCATAGACTGTATATAGAAGTGGACTGAGGGACGCCATATTCTTCGGCTCCAGCCAAGGCTAACAGTTTTAGAGGCTAATTTTGAGTTCCGTATTTGGAAATCCAATCAGAAGCGAAGTTGTTGAAGGTACTTGTCATCCCTTTTGCCCACACTGCTGGTTCTGGCAGGGGGTGGGCACTTAGTAACAAGGCACAATAGTTGTTGATCAAACGTGTTTGATGTGAACAGTTTAAGGTCAAAATAATGAGCCTGACAGCAGCAGTTGCAGAGAGAGGGGCCACAGTTTTTCAACAGAAAATGAACTGGAGCCAGAGCCGAATGAGCTAAATGCCCGTGTTCACTTTCTGTTTAGAATCCGGTGGCTAGTGGCTTAATTATGTCCACTCTATGTCTCTATGTCCAGTCTATGGGGAGTGCAGTCTAAGCAGAGATGTCTAACATGTCCTGAGTCCTTTGACATAGAGGAGCAGCAGCTCTACTCCGAGTTCGTCCCAGGTAACTGAACTAGGAAGCTCCCAGCCGGTCACCCTGAGCAGGAAACTCATTTGAATCACATATATTCGACATCTTTTTCAGTCAACACTCAAGAATGTATGTGGAAAATCAACTCACTTTGCTGGTGCATTGTGTAACTTATTTTATTTTCTTGCTTTGCCTGGAATGTTCCGCAATATGACGATAAACATAATATCTTGCATACTTATTGTTGATATCACCTGCTTTTTACCATGGAGATAGATACACGTCATGCCATATTATTGAACATTCCAGAAAAAGCAATGGCTTCTCTATACAGACCAGGAGATGTCAGACCATCACCCAGAAAAGTTAGATGTTGAATTCAAGTCATTTGAATAGGACATTTTTTCCTTTTTTGCGGTGCTTGTTGGAGTGTTCTGAAGCGTACAGTCCACTCAGGGCAGGGCCTTCTCCTCTTACTCAGATAGATCACCGAAGAAAAAAAAAAAAAAACAGTTTGAAACTGAGCAATATTCAAACATTTGACTGCAGCAGGGTGAGATTTGTCCATGTTTTTTTCTTTTTCTTTTTTTTTTGAGTCGTTGGTGATTGATTCAACAGGCCATGAAACTACCTGCAGCCTTCTCTGTAGTTTCGAGATACAGGCATCGCATTGTCCCCAGAGCTCTTAGTGGAACTGGGTATGTCTCGGATAACAGCCGAAGCCCAAGTGGCAGAAAGTCAACACCTCACTGGATCCTCTGTCTTCGTTACAAAGTTCTTTCAGCCCAAATCCCACCCCTGCAGCTGGGGAAAGATGATCCACAAACACTCCACAGCCCCATTCACACACAGGTCCCCGGATCATCAGCACGACACAGCCCCATTCACACACAGGTCCCCGCATCATCAGCACGACACAGCCCCATTCACACACAGGTCCCCGCATCATCAGCACGACACAGCCCCCTTCACACACAGGTCCCCGGATCATCAGCACGACACAGCCCCCTTCACACACAGGTCCCCGCATCATCAGCACGACACAGCCCCATTCACACACAGGTCCCCGCATCATCAGCACGACACAGCCCCATTCACACACAGGTCCCCGCATCATCAGCACGACACAGCCCCATTCACACACAGGTCCCCAGATCATCAGCACGACACAGCCCCCTTCACACACAGGTCCCCGCATCATCAGCACGACACAGCCCCCTTCACACACAGGTCCCCGGATCATCAGCACGACACAGCCCCATTCACACACAGGTCCCCGGATCATCAGCACGACACAGCCCCATTCACACACAGGTCCCCGGATCATCAGCACGACACAGCCCCCTTCACACACAGGTCCCCGCATCATCAGCACGACACAGCCCCATTCACACACAGGTCCCCGGATCATCAGCACGACACAGCCCCATTCACACACAGGTCCCCGGATCATCAGCACGACACAGCCCCCTTCACACACAGGTCCCCGCATCATCAGCACGACACAGCCCCATTCACACACAGGTCCCCGGATCATCAGCACGACACAGCCCCATTCACACCCAGGTCCCCGGATCATCAGCACGACACAGCCCCATTCACACACAGGTCCCCGGATCATCAGCACGACACAGCCCCCTTCACACACAGGTCCCTGCATCATCAGCACGACACAGCCCCATTCACACACAGGTCCCCAGATCATCAACGAGATACAGCCCCATTCACACATAAGTCCCTGGCTCATCATCACGACACAGCCCCATTCACACACAGGTTCCCGAAAACTGCAGAGAACAAAGTGACAGAATGCCAGAATGAGCACACTGCACATCATTTAAGATAAAGGAAAATGTAACCATGTAGCATAACCAGGAAACTATGCCGGTAACCAAGGAAACCAAGTAGTGGTATTGACAATTTCACATATGCAGGAGAATCTTTGCTTTGTTCACACATGACCCTGCTCTGGCAGAAAGCAGGTAAATTTCGGGTCAGACTGCATGTGTGAATGGGGTTTAATGTTAACGTGCATTTATTTTGGGAGACATGCTGAACTCGAATTCCATCCAACCAAAGACAGAAGCTAGTTTTAACCTAGCGTTGGGCTACAGAGAGGTCAGAGGTTAAATGGCTGAACCAGTAGGTTGAGTTCACAACATTGTGACGATTTGAGATGGAGAACAGAGGCCTATAGAACGCTTTGAACATTTGTGGATCATAGGTTTAATCTTATTCTTTGTTTGGATTACACAAACTTGTTATTTTAGTCATATTAATCAAGTCATTTCAGCTGACATCTGACATCTTTGGGATTATATATATATTACCATTTCTTTTTGAAGCTGGCCTGTTATTCAAAATGTTTTTCAGAGCTTTTAACCATGTTATAGTTCACCGTTTAGTCACCCAAAGTTGTATCTGAGTTAAATGTGAATGTTTGGTCTATCTTTAATCACTTATTTTTAAGATGCCATATTGCTGTTTCTCTGTTTTCACCTGTAAAATCCCGCTGTGACATACACACTTCATTCTCCAGTTTTATTTTCTTAATCAGTGATTCGCTACAATTCAGTAGTGTCATGTAGTCATTTGGCATTTTTTTCATATGCTTCTCACTAGTGTGTTTTGCACCATCGGAGATGGTAACAGCTCTTACTTTCACAAGCTGCTCCCATGGGCATTGGGTTTTCTAACCATGAACATCAGCACACTTTCTTTTGTTAAATTTTTTGAGATCAGTATTGTGATTCAAAATGTGCAAATTATACAATGATCTGACCTGTAATTTGTTCTGGTTTAAAGCCATATTGTGAAATATTCATGGCAAAACAGTGGAAACAACATAATGAATGCACCGTTATTTTTGCTTAAACCTTAAAACAGTTTAAAAAAAAAAAAAAGGTGCAAATCCCACCAAAGAATTCTGGCCTGTCCTCCATCTCTATTTGAAAACTATGGGCAGATTAGAATGTTGTGATGTATGTGTATGTGAACCCAACCTATTAGAATTGCTCAATGTTTTGAATTATTATTTTTGTATTTGTTTTTTGCACTATTTTCTGTGATGTCAATCCTCACCAATGTAGTCTTTTCTGTGTGTGGGGTCTTTCGTTTTTCTGAAGCCACAGGCAGCTTGTTTAGGGGTCCGAGTGAAGAGTGAGGAGTGAGGAGTGAGGTGCACTGTGCGGCGCAGAGTAAACCCTCAGTCAGCCACTAGAGGGCGCATCTCACCGTTATCAAACCAACCCTGCTTACTCCCCCTGTGTTCTTCCACTCTATCTGACACAGTGTATAGTAATGGAGTAATGTGGTGTGTAGGGCACAGGGAAGGGTAGGGCTGTTGGCCACATGGCTCAAGCAGAAGAACTACAACTACTACCAGTACTACTACTACTACTACTACTAAAGTAACAAATTACATTAAGGCTAACTAGGAAGGACTTAAATTCATACTAATGTTAAAAATGCACTATGTAATTTTTCTGATGGTGGGGTTGTCTGTCACCTGCTCATCTCCATGGAGATGTTGTTGCGTTATCAGTTTTATCTGTCTCACACTGGTTTGGTGGCAGATGTTTTTATTGGTAACAATAGATAATCAAATACTAATGTGAGCAAGCTTGCCACTCCACAGATCTGCTGAAGAGAAGTTAAACACCGTGCTGCGGAACATTCTAGATAAAGCAATAGTATATTTATGCAGGTGGTGGACCTTCCTATGGGAATTCCTATCTTACATACATAACCCAACTCTTAACTCAGCACTTAACTCTCCGCTTACATTTGTGATGAGATTTTAAATGAATATTTCCAATTCACATTATACTGAGTAACTGAGACCACACCTGGACAAAAATGGGGCTTTGCATACAGAAATTACTCAAAAGTTTAAAAAGTATTTGGAAAAAAAACTGTTACTTAAGTAATTATAACTACTGGACATAACATAACACATAACATATGATTTATAACTTTAAGTTAATATAATTAGAAGTACAACATTGAAATACTTCACAAAATGTGTTATTTTCAAAGAATAGACACAAAACTGAGACTAACTAAATCATATCTGAAGGAGCAGTGCAAGAAACACACATCATCAATCAATCATTTCAGTCATTTACTCAAGTAAGAGTACTATTTTACTGTACAATATATTACTCAAGTAGGATTAAAAATGTGCCATCTGAAAACTACTCCAAAAGTACATTTGTACTAAATGATTACTCAAGAAATGTACTTGGGTAAGTACTTGCATATCCAATAGTACATACTTTCAGCTATATCACTTTTAATATGTTTGTCATTTTAACAAGAATTATGTTATTTGAAATAAAACTCTGCTGTTTGATTTGGTTCCGCCTCTGTACCACAGCGCCCTCTACTGTGGCTCAGTACTGCCCCGGGTTTATTCTGTGTGAATCTCTGGAATGCACCTTACTAAGAGAGAAGCATTTTATATGTAACATAATGAATATTTATATGACTCTTTGTGTATTGTTTCATGTCTGACACTTTCTTCTTGTTTAGACCTGTGATTTCTGGACATCATTTGCGTCATCACATTTTGCACTTGTTTCAATGTTGTTGAATTTCTTTTTTTTTTTTTACTAAAAGAAAAAGACTTTAAATGTTTTTATTATGATTTTTAAAGTGAAAATTTCACTTTTTAAATATTAAGTACAAGTATTTTTAAGCCCTCAAATTCAACAGTTGTAAAATATTCGCAGCAAAGACATAAGCATCAATCATGTGTGATTGAAGGGGACAGATGCTGTTTTCCTATTGGCCTTTCTCTTCTGTGGGTGGGACTTATAGTAAAGGACTCAAAGAGATGAGATTTGGATTAGGCCAATTCTGACCAATCAGATCAGCTCCGTGGTTCAACTTCCTGGTTGTACATTAGATCGACTCACTTTGGATGTATTGCTTGTACGTTGGCATCTTGACTCTTCACTGCAAATTTTGAATCATATTGAAAACATTTACTTAAAATAACATCAATTGAAATTCAGAATAAAAACAATTCAAACAACTGAAAGTGAGAAATTCAATAGCATTTCAAACTCCAAATGTGATGACACAAATGCTCCTCCATATTTCAGTTTTGTTGTACAGACTTTGGCCCTGCACATGCACTGATGGGAGTGGACTGTGAAATTCTTCATATTTGACTCTTGGCTCTGATGATCTGTAATGTTAACACATAACCTGGACACCAATCAACAGCAGAGCGCCCCCTGTGGATCGCTGACTGTACTTTTCTAATGGGAATGAAGATGGTAAGACTGTCTTGTTCACTTCTGAATGGCATCATTAAATTATTTTACATTTTTAAATGGCTCTGTGTGTCTTTGATTATGAAAAAGTTACATGACCTTGGTGACGTGCATCCAGCCGGACAATCAGGACAAACCCCAGGAATATAAGAGCCGGGATGGGCCATATATCACTTCCAGTATTGGTATTTGATACCAGAAACACCAATACTGAAACTGATTTTCTTATGATATTGATAGCAGACGACATCAACATATGATGTACTGCGCACACACATGTTACACACACACTGGGGCTGGTAGTGCTGGTGCAGGAGGCTCCTCCGCTCCTACAGGGCACCGGGTCGGTCCAGCAGCACTTTACTCAGGTACATGCTCCACAGGCTGGGCTGGAGCAGGCTGACTGCACACAAACACGCACGCGCACACACGCACACGCGCACACACACACACACACACACACACACACAGGACATACACAGTCTGCAGAGAGGGTCAGAGGAGCAGAAAATGCAGAGGAGAGGGTTAGAGGAGCCAAGGAAGCAGAGGAGAGGGTTAGATGGTACAGAGGATGCAGAGCAAATGGTCAGAGAAGTAGAGGAGAGGGTCAGAGGAACAGATGATGCAGAGGAGAGTGTCAGATATAGCAGAGGATCCAGAGGAGCAGAGGAGATGGTCATATGATCAGAGGAAAGGGTCAGATGAAGCAGCAGACAGGGTCAGAGGAGCAAAGTATGCAGAGGAGTGGGTGCAGAGGAGAGGGTCAGATGGAGCAGAGGATGCAGAGCAAAGGGTCACAGGATGCAAAGGAAAGGGTCAAAGAACCAGAGGAGGAAGAGGAGAGATTCAGAAAAGTGGAGGATGTAGAGGAGAGATGTCAGAGGAGCACAGCACCAGAGGAGCAGAGGAGCAGAAGATGCTGAGGAGAGAATCAGAGGAACAGATAATGCATGGGAGAGGGGCAGACAGAGGAGAGCATGCAGGGGGGAGATGAGAGAGAACAGAGGGAACAGAGGATGCAGAGGAGAGGGGCAGAAGAGAAGGTCAGAGGAGCATGGGATGAAGAGGAGAGGGTTAGAATATGCAAAGGCGAGATTAAGAAGAGTACAGCAGAGGATAGGGTCAGAGGAGTAGAGGATGCAGATGAGAGGACCAGAGGAGGCAGAGAAGAGGCTCAAATGGAGCAGAGGAGACAGTCAGAGGAGTGGAGGATGTAGAGGAGATGGTCAGATGGAGGAGAGGATGGAGAAGAGATAGTCAGAGGAGCAGAGCAGAGGAGAGGGTCAGAAAGAGCAAAGAGAGTGACAGCTGTGTACAGTAGCTTGTGAGGTTTTCCTGTAAACCACTCACTTTTTAAGTTATTTGTGTTTGCACTTTAAGATTTTATTTTATGTTTATTTACTTTATCTATCCAATTAAACACTCACTTTGTTTTTTTGGCTGTGTGGCCCAGCAGTGTGGATGGCCTGTTGTTTATTCCAGAGAGCACCTTCTTTCACTGGCTAAGTGCCCAGTGCACTATGACGCAGGACGCCAAGAGGATGTCGCTTTGGAGTGAAAGTGAAACAGGGGAGAAGGAAATTCAGGCCTGTGGTTCTGTCAGTCCTGATGGGAAACATAAGGTCACTGGGAAATAAGATGGACGAGCTGTTTGCGCTTGTTCAGACCCAGAGGGAGTACACTCTCAGCAGTGTCATGTGCTTCATGGAGACCTGGCTTCAAACAAACTCCTCAGACAACAGGGGATCTGTGCCAGGCTTTAAGACTGTGCAATTGGACAGAGACACTCTCGTTAGTATTAAGAAGAAGGGCAGTGAGATTGCTGTTTTGGTGAGAGAGCACTTTTAGGGGCCCTGCTGCACTGTTGAATCGCCCCCTGTTTCCCCCTAGGAATACTAAAAATACTTCTATTACTGCTGCTGCTGTTGCTGCTGCTATTATTACTAGTACACCTAGGCCTACTGCTTGGAAATGCCATGCCAACATCAGTCATATATCTCTCCATACAAACCCGCAAAAGTGGAGAGGTCCACACTGATGCTGTACTGTACTGATGCTGTTTCACATGTCATGTTCTATTGTGATCATTTCTTATCACATAATTTCATGACCATGACTTTTGGATCCTGTCTTAACAAGGCACTAGGGCGGCAGCAGCTCAGTTGGTAGAACGTTTACCCACTGGTCAGCAGATTGGTGGTTCCAGTCCTGCTCCATATCAGACCACTGTAAAAGGAACAACCACATTATGGATTGGGACGGGGCTCGGATCATTGGATCGGAAAACAACAAGTTCAAACGCTGGATCAAGGAGGCCATTGAAATCAGGAAACGAGGCACGGACAGCATTAACCGGGACGACGGCGCGTTCCTCCTTTCACACACCTGGGACACCCTCCTCCAGAGAACACCGGGCGACGGGAGGCGTGGTCAGTCTGAGCGACCTGCCAGGTCCATCAGGCTGACCACGCCTACAGGAAGTAACAACAGCTGATATACGACACGTCACCACCAACACCGGTGACAGTTCTGAAGATGGCTTGCAGCTAGCAGCCGAAACATGTCAACAAGGTAAATACACTTTACTGCATTGTCTTTAAAAAGAACCCAAGAAGTTAAAGTATATAAGAAGACAAAATGAACATCTTTTGCTTAATAAACATCATTGGTGGAGTCATTCCCTGAACCGCAGGTTGATGGTGTGATTCCAGCTCCCACAGATGAATATTGTCTCTGAGCAGGACACTTAACCCACCTCTCCCCCAGTGTCTCCCACACTGGTGTATGAATGGGTGAGTGGTTCCTTAATTGTGGTAAAGTGCTTTCAGTGCCTTGAAGGTGGAAAAGAGGAAAACATGTGACCATTTGTCACTATTAAGTCATTTCACAGTAATGTCGTATTAAAACATGATACTGCACATTTTTATTGAAGTACGCATTAGGCTGTCGTGAGAGAGGGACAAAAGTAATAACATAGGCCTAATAAAGAAAACTCATCTCTGGTAAACTTTGATTTTGTGAATATGAATGTGGCCAAAATAGTTGGTTTAGGAGGTTTTGTCCAAACTCCCAAAAGGCATGTCTTGGGAATGGAAGGTGAATGCTTTTGAAATACTGCTCGAGGTGTGTTTGACAAACTGTTTCCAGAAGGTGGTGCTGTAGGAGCGTGTCTAGAACAGATGGATGGCGGCAGTGAGCGAATTTCTGCTTAACTGGAAAGAAGGTGTGTTTCTCTTTGTTTATTCGTGATAAAGTAATTGTAGGATAATGTCCAGACTTCAATGATGGATCACATATAGAGCATGGACAAAATATTTTATCTGAAACATGCTTTTGATTGTATATGTGTGTGCCCCTCCTTGAACCGTCACCTTATCGTGGTGGAGGGGTTTGAGTGCCCGAATGATCCCGGGAGCTATGTTGTCGGGGGCTTCATGCCCCTGGTAGGGTCACCCAAGGCAAACAGGTCCGGGGGGACGGGTCAGACGAAGAACGGTTCAGAAGCCCCTATGATGAGTGTACCAGCAAGGCCAGTTACGTCGCCCGGATTGGCGTCACCGGGGCCTCACCCTGGAGCCAGGGCTGGGGTTGGTGCTCGCCAGCGAGCGCCTGGTGGCCGGGCCCTCCCCCACGGGGCTCGGCCGGGCTCAGCCCGAAGGAGCGACGTGGGGCCGTCCTCACGTGGGCCCACCACCCGCGGGAGGAGCCATATGGGGCCGGTGCAGAGAGATCTGGGCAGCAGCCGACGGCAGGGGCCTCGGCGACCACATCTCCGGACATGGAAACTAGCTCTGGGGACATGGAATGTCACCTCGCTGGGGGGGAAGGAGCTTGAGCTTGTGCGGGAGGTTGAGCGTTACCGACTAGATATACTCGGCCTCACCTCCACGCACAGTTTGGGCTCTGGATCCCAACTCCTTGAGAGGGGCTGGACTCTCCATTTCTCTGGCGTTGGCCGCGGGGAGCGGCGGCGGGCTGGTGTGGGCCTGCTCATTGCCCCACAGCTCAGTCGCTGTGTGTTGGAGTTCACCCCGGTGAACGAGAGGGTCGCGTCCCTGCACCTTCGGGTCGGGGACAGGTCTTTCACTGTGGTGTCGGCCTACGGGCCGAACAGCAGTGCTGAGTACCCGGCCTTCTTGGAGTCCTTGGGAGGGGTACTAGACAGTGCACCGACTGGGGTCTCCGTTGTTCTCCTGGGGGACTTCAACGCCCACATGGGCAACGACAGTGACACTTGGAGAGGGGTGATTGGGAGGAACGGCCTCCCTGATCTGAACCCGAGCGGTGTTTTGTTATTGGACTTCTGTGCTAGTCACGGTTTGTCCATAACAAACACCATGTTCGAGCACAAGGGTGTCCATAAGTGCACGTGGCACCAGGACACCCTAGGCCGGAGGTCGATGATCGACTTTGTAGTCGTGTCATCTGATCTCCGGCCGCGTGTCTTGGACACTCGGGTGAAGAGAGGGGCTGAGCTGTCAACTGATCACCACCTGGTGGTGAGTTGGGTTCGCTGGCGGAGGAGGAAGCTGGAAAGACCTGGCAGGCCCAAGCGTGTAGTGAGGGTCTGTTGGGAACGTCTGGCGGAGCCCTCTGTCAGAGGGACCTTCAACTCGCACCTCCGGGAGGACTTCTCCCGGATTCTGGGGGGAGGCCGGAGATATGGAGTCCGAGTGGGCTTCATTCTCGGCCTCTATTGTCAATGCAGCTGCTCGGAGCTGTGGGCGTAAGGTCTGTGGTGCCTGTCGCGGCGGCAATCCCCGAACCCGGTGGTGGACACCGGAAGTAAGGGATGCTGTCAAGCTGAAGAAGGAGTCCTATCGGGCCTTGCTGGCTTGGGGGACTCCTGAGGCAGCTGACGGGTACCGGCGGGCCAAGCGTACTGCAGCCCGTGTGGTCGCGGAGGCAAAAACTCGAAGCTGGGAGGAGTTCGGGGAGGCCATGGAGAAGGACTATCGGACGGCCTCAAAGAGATTCTGGCAAACCGTCCGGCGCCTCAGGAGGGGAAAGCAGTTCTTCACCAACACTGTTTACAGTGCGGGGGGAGAGCTGCTGACCTT